AATAAAACACAGTCTGTTCGACCAGCGAATGTTACATGTGACCTGATAGGATTTGATGAGGCCGCGGTTCCTCGTGGATCTTCTTGTCCCCTGGACGAGTCCGGAGTGAAGAGGCCTTGTGGATCTCCTTACACCAGCGGTGTCTGGATGGAAGAGGAAGAATTCTAGCTGTGCTCAGGCTTATAAACCAGGTGGCACAACCAGTGGGGGGGCCCTTTCTTGGCCAATGAGGGACCAGCATCAGGTTTCTGCTGGAACTGGGGGGTGTGGTCATCCGGCATGAAGTTTCTTGCAGACCCCAGGTCAGGTGTTTTGGTGAAAGGAAGGAACATGGCTGCTCCTTTGTTTGAAAAGCACGTGTGAAGGTCTCAGCCAGCCAGGAGAGCAGGGTCAGATCCCAACAAGTGTGTGAAAAGCTCGTGAAGACTTACAGAAAACGTTTGACCTCTGTCATTGCCAACAAAGGGTATATAACAAAGTATTGAGATGAACTTTTGTTATTGACCAAATACTTATTTTCCACCATAATTTGCAAATAAATTCTTTAAAAATCAGACAATGTGATTTTCTGAATTTTTTTTTTTTTCTCATTTTGTCTCTCATAGTTGAGGTATACCTATGATGAAAATTACAGGCCTCATCTTTTTAAGTGGGAGAACTTGCACAATTGGTGGCTGACTAAATACTTTTTTTCCCCACTGTACATGTAATCCTACATGAATAAAATGTCGATTTTTCCTAGCTTTCACACCTTGAACAAAGTCAATAACCAATCACGTACAAAACAGACGTCAGGTCGAAACCTACACTATAATGTAGCCAAGGGTTATGACGGTCTTGTCCACATTGTAACGCATGAATTGCGAAGACTTGCAAAAACTGTTGTGACACTCGCTGCCCGTCAACCTAAATGACCCAGAGCTCAATGTCTAGCCTTAAGGCTAGACAGTGACCTCTAACGGTTAATGATGCAACCAACAGTATAGTGCATCTAGTGACTAAACACCTCGAGAATCCGAGGGCCTATGCTAGACTGTTGTTTGTAGATTTCTTTCTTAGTCTGTACTACACTCTGTGTTGTTTTAAAATCTTAAAAAGTATAGGGGTAACTAATAGCCTGACGCGTCTAGACAATAGATGAGAACCCAAAATTTGGGTTAGACAGTGACCTCTAACGGTTAAGGCTAGACAGTGACCTCTACTTCAGCAGAGAAGTCATAATTGTCAAACCGCTTGTAAAAAAAACATTCAGCTCATTTGCTTTAGCCAGTTCATCTACAACATATAAGGATTTTTTTTGTGGGTTTCATGTTGGTGGCTGTTTTCATGGAATTCCATGTTTTTTTTTTTTTTTTTTTTTAGAGTTCATAGCCTGGAGGTTTTCCTCTATTGCCTCCCTATGGTGTTCCCGAGCTTCTTTCAGCCTCTGGTTCAACTCCTTTTGTACAGTTTTTAGTTGTAGGTGGTTGTTGGTCTTAAATGCCTGTTTTTTTCTGTTAATACAGTCCTTTACCTCCTTTGTGATGTAAGGTTTGTTGTTAGGGTAGACTTTTATTGTCCTTTTTGGAATCGCAGTGTCAACACAAAATTGTATGTAACTTGTGGTAACTTCTGTGGCATTGTCCAGGTTTGGCTTTCCAGAGGAGGTATCCCAGTCTGTACATAGAAAGCAACCTTTCAGTGTTTCTATGCTGTCATCTGTCCATGCATTGATAGATTTAACCAGAGGTTTACTGCTCTTCAGGGCTGTCTTGTATGTGGGGATCAGGTGAACGGTGTTATGGTCAGAGTTAGACAGGGGTGGTTTAGCTATGGCTGGGTATGCATGTTTACATTACCATAGCACTTGTCTAAAGTCCGATTCTTCCTGGTATCACATTTAATATACTGTTCAAAACCTGGCAATGCAATGTTTAAGTTGCAATGATTAAACCATGATGAAAATCGGGGCGTTTGGGGTGCGCTGTAGTTGTTCGTGAACACAGTCTGCCACCTGTACCGCAGCCCTCGAGGCATTGCCATTGAGGGGTACAGAAACGGAGCAGATGATATTACCAAACTCTCGAGGTAGGTAGAACGGCCTGAGACTCACACATAACAGTTCCACATCAGGGTTGCAGACTTTCTCCCGGACTGTGTGCTGTCTGCACCACTTGTCAGTTATGTACAAGCAGAGCCCGCCCCCTTTGCTTTTCCCTGACAGATTGCTTCTGTCAGAGCGAATGTGTGAGAACCTCTCTATACCAACACAGCAGTCAGGGATCTCGGGGTGTAACGAAGTCTGGGTGAAAAGCATAATACAGGACTCCCGGTACTCAAAGCATCCCCTTGTCAGGAGTCGGAGTTCGTCCATCTTATTCCTCAGTGACCTTACGTTACTCAGAATCATAGATGGCAGGGGCGGTCGTACGCCTCCTCTCCGGCCTCTTTTCTGCAATCGCCGCCGACGTGGAGCTCTGTCTTCCGGCACGTTTTTGAGGAGCGATCCTGAAGGATCTGCTGTGAGCTTATCTCCATAGTGGCGTAGAGACAAGAGCGCTTCCCTTGTGTAAGATAGCGCCTGGTTGCCACTTGCCCAAGCCGATATAGCCTTGCAGGTGGTGAAGAGTTCGCAAAGGAGCAGTAACGCCACCAGAAAAAAATCCCAAAACACACGCCATCATATAGTCCTTCGTCTTGATCATACGACTTGAACACAGGGCAAACCGATCGTTCACAAAAAGCCAAACAAACAACAAACAAACAGCAGCACAGGTACGTGTACGTGTATGCGTGTCGCCTGCAGAGCAGCGCCACACACGTCATCAAAGCGATTCCAAACTACTGAAATGAAAATGTCGTTATAAATGTGCGTTGGTACATAGAGGGTGATAAGAAGCTGTACATGGAGGGACTTAGGACCCAGGGGAATGTAGGTGAAGGAAACAGGAAGAGACGCCAGACAAACAGCTGTTCACCGCCCGCTGCAGGTTCTTGTGTTAAAAATGTCGCTTAATAATAATAATAAAACAAATGCGTTAGTGTGCGATAAAGTAATTCTCTGCGTTAATGAATGAATGCGTTAACGTGATAATAACGCGTTAACTTGCCCAGCACTAGTTTTAATACTATATTTGATATATTATATCTATATTTACATCATGTCTCTCTGTCTCTCAGGATGGAGGGAGGAGAGCTGTTCCACAGAGTAAAGTCTCATCAGCTCGATGAATCCGTCACTAAACTTTATTTCTATCAGATGCTGAAAGCTGTTCAGGTACAAAATTTATTAAAGATGAAGATATAGAAATATGAACATGTTTTAATGTGTGTGTGTGTGTGTGTGTGTGTGTGTGTGTGTAGTACCTCCACAGTAAGGGGATCATCCACAGAGACCTGAAACCAGAGAACATCCTTCTGTCCTCTCAGGACGACGTCTGTCTCATCAAGGTACTCTCATCTTCATCATCATGACATCATCCCCACCACCGTCATCATCACTGTCTGTCTGTCTGTCTCTCAGGTGACAGACTTCAACCAGTCCAGGATCCTGGAGGAGACCCTGTTGATGAGGACTCTGTGTGGGACCCCGTCCTATCTGGCTCCGGAGGTCTTCACTCAGGCCTCCACCACCGGGTACAGTCTGGCTGTGGACGCCTGGAGCCTCGGAGTCCTGCTCTTTGTCTGGTAGGCTCCTGTCTCACGCCCTCTGTCTGTCTGCTCGTCAATTGGTTTTCCTCTGGAGTCAACCTGTCTCTCTCTCTCCCCGTCTGTCTGTCTCTCACCATCTTGATGTCTCCCTCTCTCCCTGTCTGTCTCTCAGTCTGTGTGGTTATCCACCTTTCCATGAAAGCTTTGGTCGATCGATCACAGAGCAGATCATTGATGGAGAGTTCACCATGGTCCCCTCCAAGTGGAGACACATCTCTGATCAAGGTACTACTACTGCAATACTCGGATAGTACTCAGACAGTAGTACTGCAGTACTCGGTGTGTGTGTTAGGTTGTAGGTTCTCATGACTTCATTGTGTTGTTGGATTCTTATTGTTGAAATGTGTCCAGAGGCTCATCACTCTTATGTTCACATCACCTCTCAATCTCTCCTCGCGGTATCTTCACCAGTCGTGTTTACATGTTAAACTACAGTCAGTTACTTTAGTGTCTATCCATCACATATTGCTCTTCCTGCTGCAGACAGAAACCTGTGAACAGATTCTCTTTGATCTTCTTCTTCAGACGTAAATCTGAGTGAGTTCTTCTTTACTTCTCTCGAGCTCAGAGAAGAAGTTCATCAGAACTTCACGTATCCCCTCCCAATGGAGTGACTTTAGAAATCACACAATAAACGGGTCTGATGACAAGAGACGAGAGACTCACGGACCGGTCCCAGTTCTCACTTACACGCCCCCACCCCCACTCTCCCTTACAGCCGCTTCTTCTTCTCCATTTCAATCACTTCCCCATTACAGATGTTAGTTTGTTATCGGCTAACACCAATGTCCCGCTCTCCTCCTGCGCCACAAGCGTGGATTCTGTTGAGGGAGCCCCAGACACTCTGTCCCGCTGTACAGAAGTAGAGAATGAGACACGTCTCCTCCATGATGTGTGGCCTCTAGCGTGACGCTTGGTTGGCAGACGGAGTGGAAGATGTCTCGGCCTCGAGTCAAACACACGTTGGGCGCCAATTATGTTGTGGCTGAAGAGTAGAGACGTAGTTCTTAGAGTAGCAGCCAGCAGGACTGTTTCATGCACACAATGGTTCATAACAAATCCAAAGTTTTCGTTCTCACAGCTCACTCTTATAGTCTAAAGTCACCTTTATGTCACTTTACACCAATCAAAGCAGTCGATTGAAGCACAAACACAGAACATCTGGTCTCATTATGTCATGCTCTCATGTCCTCGTCTGGGTCAACGTAACATTCTGGCAGAACACATGATACACGTATATTCCAATCACTTTCTAGGAATGTTCTTATGAACCCAAATGTGGTGTGTTCAGAATACAGGTTATGATGATTCTCTTCAACATTTACAGCGAAGGACGTGGTGAGGAAGCTGCTGGTAGTTGACCCCAGGAGGAGGATGACGATAGAGGAAGCTCTGCAGCACCCCTGGTTACAGGTAACTCACTGATGTCGTCTGAGGTAACTTACTGCGATGTCACGAGACAGGTGCATGAGAAGTGTTGTCTCTGTTCAGGATGGTGTGATGGTGCAGACGGCTCACAGACTCATGTTCCCCTCTGATGATGATGCTGCTGCTGCTGTTGCCACGGTAACCACATGCACACACACATTCATTCACTCATTAAAACTCATTCATAGTAACACTGACCCCTCCCCCAGCCGGAGGCGGGGTCAGCCGCCAGGAGGAAACGAGAACGAGATGGAGACGAAGAACATCCTGCCAAACGGAGCCAAGCCCCGCCCCCTGCCCCAGTGTAGAGGACCAATCAGATTCAGACATTCCTCAGGTCATGTGACTACACATGTTCACTACTGAAACACTGTAAATAGTTTGTCTTCTAATAAAGTACTTCATATTTTTCCCTCTGTTCGTTTCTGCTTTTAATTTATTCACTTTGAAAACGAATTACATTTTTTTTTTCAGGGTAAGCCCCGCCCCTTTTAGCTCTGCTCCAATAACAGTTGAGCCTCAGTCGACTTCCTCTTCCTGTTGTACTGAGACATGCTACGTCTGTTCAAAGAGAACGTTAGCAAACCGAACGTGTAGCTAACGTTTATCTACAAATTTCCCCCTGGGGATGAATAAAGTACATATCTAACGTGTAGCTACACGTTAGCAGTCTGATCCGTCACACTAAACAGAACAGTCGCCATGTTTCTCTTAGCAACAGTAACTAACGAAAGGCCGCCGTAATGACCTGATTGGCCGAGATGAAAAAAAAAACACCAAGCTGCTTTTTAACCAATCAATCATCAACTACATGATTGGCCCTCGGCTAAGCCCCGCCCCCCCTCTGCTCTGGGAACCTATTGAGTGAAAGTGTTTGTGTTGTCATGGAGACAGTGAGACAAAATAAACAAATAGAATCTCAAAACTTTATTTCTTTTCTTCATTCAACATTTTTTTCAAGTGATCATTAAACATCTGATTCACATCATGAGTTCAAACCTCGTGACATCATCTGACGCCGGAGCGTGATTGGCTCCTCCCTCGGTCAGGTGGGCGGGGCCTGTGAGGTCACAGCTTGGCGGCGTGGCGCTCTCTGATGGCATACAGGACGGCGTGAGCTCGGTCGAAGGTGTTGCCAACGGCCGAGCGGACTCTGGTCCTCCAGCGCTGCAGCTGAGGACGCTGCTGCAGGACGTCTCTGCCCCCCCCCAGAGGCTGCAGGCACACACTGAGCACGCTCAGAACCAAGCCCCTCCTCTCCAACATACACGATCAATATCTGAACCAATCGGAGCCTCTCACCTGCATGAGCTCACAGACGGCGAGCAGGTCGGCCACGCTGATGTCATCACCGCACAGGAAGGGCTGTCTCCTCAGGAACATGGACTCCAGTCGTTCCAGGGTCTCCTCCAGCTGAGACAGAGCGCGAACCAAACGCACCTCGTCCACTGGGGAGCCGGTCTGGACCGGGAGGAGCACCTGAGACACAGACGGGTGGAGTCAGAGAGACACAGACGGGTGGAGACTAGGGGTACAACAGATCACAAACCTCACGGTTCGGATCATTTTTTGGATCAGCAAAGAAAAGAGGAGACGACAATGCTTTCCATTTATTAATTAAGCAAAGAACGTTGGGCTATAGTCTGACATGAAAACTAAAATATTGAAGATGTCCAATTTGAAACAAAATTAAATAAATAGAAAGAAAATTAAAGACAAACTGTGTCTACAGCATCAAAGAAGAAAGAAAGCATGATAACCAGATTTTGAATTCCTTTGTTTTCCACAACAGAGAATGTCCTCGTGTCTGCAGCAATACAGACTCAATGCTGCGAGAGCTTCAGCCGGTCTGATTCTGCACAAACGCTTTACCTTGTTGTTGTTGTGCCTTGGCCCCGTCGCTGACAGACGGGATGGTGTCTCTTCATATGTGTGGACATGTCCCATGTATTTCCGTTGTCGTGTGTCTTTCTTTAAATAACGCCTACATACCGTAACGGTTTCGTCCACCACCCTCATCCGTCATCATTAGTTACAGGGAAGACTAAATGCTCCCAAACTTGAGACTTAAATGACGCCGGAGCTTCTGAAGTTCCTCCGCTCGCCATGACTTCACCGTTAAATGCTTTTAACCTGCTCCGTTCACTGAACACACTGCTTTATACCTGTTCACTGACAGTCTGCACTGATATTCAGGGACTTGTTACTTGAAAAAGAACAGCAGCAGTAGAACGTTATTACACACTGTGATGATTAAAGTGTAAAAAAAAACAAAAAACGAAATGAATCCGTGGTTCACAAGTGTGCCGAACAGTGAGGAGTGATCAGTTACACCACTAGTGGAGACAGACAGACAGACAGTACCTCCAGTATAAACACTCCAGCAGACAGACAGACAGTACCTCCAGTATAAACACTTTAGCAGCATGAGGTCTCGTGTTACTTTGATGCCACGCTGTGTACTCGTCTACTCTGGCTCGTCTCTCTGGTTGCCGTGGATACCAGTGATCAGGGACATCGTACCTGGTGGAGAGGTACTTCATGATGGCATCACTAGAGACAGAGAGACAGACAGGCAGAGAGAGAGAGACAGACAGGGCAGAGAGAGACAGAGAGATAGACGGGCAGAGAGAGACAGAGACAGATGGACACAGGCAGAGAGACAGAGAGAGACAGGCAGAGAGACACAGACAGGCAGAGAGACAGAGAGAGACACAGAAGTAATATTAGTGGCGTTGATGGGATCAATGTGAGAGTATTACTCAGTGTTGTAAATGTATCGATAGTTGTTGGTGTTCTTTAAATGTGTTCATTTCATATGAGCTGCTGAACATCCAGCGTGTCACTCTGGAGAGCATGAACTCTATGAAAGACGTTGATATAATATTCATAATCATTAATAATGATATAATAATAATAATAATAATAATAATAAACAGGGAGCAGTGTAGTCAGGATGTCTGGAGCAAAGGGCTCACGTTCATAAGAGAGTCTACTTATTCTGTAGTATTATAAAGAAAAGAAAACTACATTTAACCAATGATCTTCAGTCAACATATCATTGGCTTGCTCCCAAAACACTGACCATATACATACACACATATATACATATATACACATACATATATATACATACATATATATACACATATATATACATACA